TAACATTCTTAAGTAACGGCAAGTGGTTCCAGAGCAGCGTTCTGAACGGCGAACAGCATACTGAACGCCTCGCATACCTTTTGGCTCCAGTAGTCAGAGTTTATGGTGTGTTCGTGGCTTTCAAGCTTTTGTTGCTGTCTTGTCTATATATATATATAGAGTCTTAAGATAATAATATAACAATATATAACAATGGTTCAATGAATGCCCTTTATATAATGTTGTTTTTGATTCATCAAAACATTGAATCATTGAAGTTTATTGAAGATACCGTAGTTTCATGTAGTTTATCAATCCCAGTTGTTCATCCTCTCTTGTACGCTGGCTTGTCGAGTGAACGTCTTTTGGCGTCTTTGTTGTACCCACAACCACGTGGATGTTGACTCCAACTCCCGCCATTTCCAGCCTCAATCAATCGCGTGGAAGCTGGACTACTCTCAGACCCCTTTCCCATAACCTTTTCCGTTTGAAGCAGCGCAACCCACGGGGTTGCTGCTACCCGGCCGCGGTCACCGCGACTTTGGGTTCGTCACCGCATGGCGCAAAAGTCGCTGGAGCCGGGGATGTTGCGCTTGATCTCCCATGGCTCAGATGTCCTGGAGGCTCGGCGGTCGAACGGGTTCGCTCCCCGGGAGGTTGGGTTTTTGCACGGGTTCCGGAGCCGGGGAAGCCAACATGGAAGAGAAGCTTAGGGCTATACATATATGGGGCAGAACCAGGATACCTTGGTTGAAATACCGACGTGAGCGCCGTTCGCTACATGGTGGACCCGGGCTCCAGGTGTTCACCCATCCCCAATCATCAGACTTGGACTCTCCTGGCGCCTCCATCAATCAGTGTCTCCTGTCTGAGCCTCAAAAAAGAGGGGATGTATCGGGTCACCTAATTACTGCCCTCCAACAATGCCCCCTTTGAAGACGTTATTCCTGTATCCCTAAAGGGCGATTTCCACTTCCATGATGGTTGCAGGGAGGGTAACACCTCCAGAAACCTTTGGTTTCACTGGCACCCCAAGATGTCCTTTAGATGGGGATCCATATAACTACTTTTGGGGTCGTGCCATCTACTCTCAAGCCACACTGTGTAATGTTATAGAAAGGGCTAACGCCCTGGTGCCGCCGACCCCCATTTAGGTCGCCAGGCAGATGCGTGAACAAGACGAGTCTTTTTCAATATGGTCCAGCTTCACAGGCAATCTAATGACACACTACACTTCCTATACATCATTATACGCTAGCCCGAGCCAAAACCTCGGTCTCGCCACGGCGAAACACCCTGGCCCTGAAGGTTTGAACGAAGCAGCGCGTGAGCGCTGCCAGTGTCTAACGTCGCCTTCAGAGCCCCAATAGAAAGAGGAGGCCAGGAAAAGCCCTAGGTAGCTGCAGGCGTGCTCTGGAGGCTGCAAGAACCAGACCACAACCTCAGTGTCATGGGCAGACATGGGCAGAGATTGCAGAGAGAGAAGGAAAAGCAACGGAGGGGACACAAAAGAAGCGCAAGGCCGAGCACAAACGCAAAAGCAGACGGAACAGAAGCGAGCACGGAAGGGCCTGCAGATGCGCGTGGCAAGCAGAAAGAAAGCAACAGCGGGACACTGCCGACACAGGGAGGGAAAGCCGCGCTGCCGTACAGTTATCGCTGCCCACACTGCACTGGGGAAGTGCAAAGCACCATAACCAGCGGCCAAGTCAAGCATGGGGTCAAGCACTGCGGAAACGGTTTCGCGTGCATCACAGCAGCATATGTGGGCAAGTGCACCCCCACCAGTGCCCGCAGTGTGGGGCCGTGGTTCGCAGCAGCGTGCACCAGGGCCGCATACAGATCACCCACAAGACGCCCGTAAGGCGCACGTGCCCGACAACGTCGTGGCGGGCATGAGCCCTCAGTGTTGGAGGCCGCGGGCAGGGTGCCTAACAGCAGCTTCGAAGCCCAATAAAAAGAAACTTGTGAAGGCGCCGCCCCGCCTACAAAAAAAGCTTGCAGAGCAGGTACCTTGGTCTCCCCACAGTGTCCGCCCCAGACCAGAGGGGCCAGAGCAGGCAGGGCCAGAGCAGGCACGTGGCAATCGCTTCTCGCTACGCTGTCCCGGGCGCCGCCCCGCCTAGGCGTCAGCTGGGCAGGCGTCGGCGGATAACATACTATGTATATAATAGTCCATAGTATATTGTATATAAGAATATCTAGCATATAGAAGATATTACATAATATTTATATATTGATAAGGTATATACAATATGACTATTTATTGTTGCCTCGTTTGTGGGCGGCACCTCACGGGCGGCCAGAGAGTCGATCCCAGGCGTCGAGTCAAAGCGAACGAAGGCCCTCTGTTTGTTGCAGAAACTTCTTCTCAAAAAGGGATTTTTTTTATATTTTTTTGTGTTTTTCAGTGTTTGTTGTTTTTTCTGTTGGAGGTTATGACCATAGGGTTTCTGGTTCACAGATTTGGGTCGCAACCTGTGAGTTTCGCCGGGATGGTTTTGCTTCATCCTCTTGGAAAAATGGCATGAAAAAACAACACGGAGGGTCCGGAGAGATCTTTAGAGGATTTGACGTTGTTTGGAACACCTAGCCACAGCTCACCATAAATATATGAATGACTGATGATGACAGTCGATTGAACTTTTATGCGCAATCATACTGGAAGTTGAAGTAGATGCATGAACATGTGTTTGTTGTTTCGATCCATTTTGACACGTAGATATATACATATACATACAATTATATATACAGTATATATATATCTAACTTACTGATAGAACTGCATTGGTTCAAATTGTCATCACGCAGTGTTTTAATGCGATATACTATAAATCTTATATGTAATAGTTCTTGTGGATTTACCCAGACTCAATCTACTTAAAAGTCTGTGACCGTCGGGTGCCATCGATTCTTCCATGTCGGAGTTTTTGCGTGGTGACGTGGTGACAGGGTCAAGGGACCTTCCTGAGCTCTGTGAGGGATGCCCAGATGACGATGTGGGTGGCGCAGGGAAAACCATCACTGAGAGCAACTTGAAGGGGGTCAATGAACCGACCTAACTGGTGCCTATTGAGAACAGACTATGTTGATGACTAGTGTTATTTTTATCATTCTTTCCTGATAAACCTCATGGATGAGCAAAGGAGAAGGAAGTGTTAGTTTTTCTTTCAACATCCAGAGAATCTGATCCAAATGACATAACACTTGGAGCAGCAAGTTCTCCCAGACACGTGCATCACTTCAGACGCGTACAAGTAGAAGGAGTGGAAGACCTTGCTTTGACTCTTGAGAAGACCAGTGGATCTCACCTAGTGGCGAGTCGCTTTGTGGCTGCATAGCTTTTCGAACCGACGGTGCAGGTTTGTGGAAGACCTATTTTGTGGCTCTAGGAACACAGGTTTGCCGGCCCAATCTCAAGGAATTGTCATGCATATTCGGATCAGAATATATTAGAGTCAGTCTCACTTTTGAAATCCTTCGAAGCACCATGAACCACTTGGGTGATTGGTACCTGAGCCAGCTGTTTATGAGCCGTGGTCGAATCATGAAATGGGCAGCATCACCATGATTCTGCAATTTCTTGGCATTTCCTGACACCATGCCAAACTTGAATGAGGCTATGTGACTTGCATGTTCAGGTCTCTTCCCCAAAAATGCCACGCAATGGCCGAAAAACACCCTTTTTGCCCACTTCGCCACAAAGGAAAACCGCCGCATCCACGCCGCAGAACACGCGCCCTCCTCAAACCGCGTGCGTCGTCCGAGGTCATCAACCTGAGCGCCGCCACCATGGGGTGCAGCATCCTCGCCTTGCCGCAAGTCTTCGCCCACTGCGGCATGACCCGGGCGGGTCATACGGCGGGCCGTACCGCCACCGGTCCGGTGGCTTGCGGTTTTTGTTGGTGGCTGATTGGACCCAACAACAGTCTCATGTTTGCTTGTTGTATTTTGATGTTTGCTTGTTGTATGTGGTTTGTTCCGCACCATTGATCCATTTGAAGAAACGTCCCCATGTAACACAAAAGGTTGGGTTCATTGTTTGAACACGTCTTTGCATGATTATGTTAGGGAGGGGTGAACCTGGCTGGGGAGCGGCCTTGAATCTGACAGGTTTTCTACCAAAGAAGACTATGAGGAACATTGAGGAACAATCTTGGCAAAACTCCAGGACACCGAAAACACAGTGGTTCCCCCTAGTTCCCCTTGCTTGGAAAACCATGTGATATCACTCCTTCCCGTTTGGATATATAAATACACGGTCCAAGTCCAGAGTAGCTACCACGACTTGGAGGACAATCAGGGAGAAGACTTAGCAGCCGTAATACGCAGCCCGACCCCAACTGATGTCGACCCCAGTTTCGGTTGAGCCTTGTGCCTTCTTCTTGGTTTTCGGCTCTTCACGTTTCCAGCCTCCTTTGAGCCGTTTTTTCCGCTGTTCCGCTTTTCCAGGAGCTGGAGTATGGCGTTCTTGCTGATCTTTTCGTTGCGGCTCACCTTGACCATGTCGAAAGACGACGTCGATGGTCAATGGATTTCACCATCGGTTGAATGTCTTCGCGAAGCTGCTAGCAAGCCTAAAATAATCATAAACTTTTGGTTTTGGTTTGGTGTTTGGGTCAGCAGACGGTCATTGAAGATGGGTGTTGCTTGTACAGTCTGGAAGAACTTGTGTGGGTCAATATGATGTCGCTTCTCGAGAAAATTCATGAATGCAGGTTTTGATATGCTTACACCCTATGTTACCCGCTGACATGGATTTCCGTTTTCAAAGTTGGCTCCACCAGAGTTGGCCAGTTGATTGGACATATATAGGGTATCTTAGGGTCGAGACACTTCATCACAGAGTTGGGGTGCTTGATCAATCAGAACAACAGGTGCCTCCTCAGGAGGCTTCAATATACTTCAATACTTGTGAGACCGATCTTTGTGGTCAAAAGTCAAGACCTTGGTTCCTCCCAGGTGCCACCAGGTGACGGTTTGGTCAAGTGATACAACAAATCCCCCCTGTCAGGGCCCACATGGACCCACATTCGAGGGCGTATGTTCGACATGAACCTCCCCATGCAGCGGTTCGTCCACCCATACTCTTGCATTCTCTTGGGATTGGTCGATACTCTTTTTCCCCCCGTTCAAGCCGAATTCGGCTAATTCGTTATCTGCCCTCCGCCCTGTGCCGTGTTCTGCCCAGGTGGGTCGAATTGTCCTTGCGTTGGTTGGTCGCATGTGGGCGCTATAGCGGCTATCGCGGCTTCAAGGACACCCGGTGCTTCGCTGCTCGAGTCGCGAACGCGAGGGGCCATGGACGGACTGGTGAAGACCTGGAGAAACCAGAGAAGACCTGCTGTCGATAGCGCCTGCTGTCCACCTCAGAAGCCCATCCAAGCTATCCACGGCAAGGTACCATGGACACAAGGAGAACTGCAGGAAACCTCACGCTTCCCAAGTGGTACATGTCAATCAACAGGCAGTATGATTGAGGAGCTGTTCCTGATTTCATGTTTTGTTCCCCGTGGAAGGTCATTATTCCGAGATCCCTTGAGATCTGCCCCCAACGAGATGAGATCCCTTTCGCAAGCAACGATGATACATGATGATACACTGTATATAGATGTATATAGAGTGTTCCCCAAATAGATGGACACAGATTTCAATACTGTACATGTTCAAGAGATTTCAGGAAACCATGCCTGTCTCTTATCGTTTGTGGGGAGAAAACGCAGGAGAACGCACAGTACTTCTTGGGCGCGTCGTCCGCGAAGCTGGTGCATCTCTGCCAGGCGACGGGTCCACGGACGGGGACCGCCGAGCGCCGGAGAGACGAGACGGGTGTCCGGTCGCCGTGGTTTGACTGGCCACACGTTTTTGTTTTTTGCGCATAAATGTAGTGTGTTTAAACATGAAGATGGATGTGGCCTGAAAAAGGAGAGGACCCAAGAACCCGCAGTTAGTCATCGTTAGTCATGTTTGTTCCTTTCAATGGGGTTTTCTCCCATATTTGACGAGTCGTAGCAGCCAGATGAAGACTCGTTGAGGTGTAGTTGTATTTAACCAAACAAACTAATATGTATACGATACACAGTTTGCACCGGGGGCCTCGCACTGTTCATCAATGCCAGTGCTAGAGCACGCTAGCTCGCTGCCTTCCAACCCAATTCAAGATATTCAAGGAAACATAGAGGCCAGACTCCGTATGATTCATGATTGCAAAATATTTGTCCCCTTTGCTGACGGGATCTGCAATAGTACCATTATGTCAATTAGATAATGCGATTCAAGTCGATCGTTCTCCCGAGAGAGAGAGAGAGAGAGAGAGGGGTCAATGGGCATGCCTCCTCTCTAAGCACCAGCCCTTTTGGGGGGCCACCATGAGCACCCAGAGGCTTGGCTGATGCTTTTCGCGTTGGTAGCACCAGGTGCTTTTGCTTTGTGGTGGCATCGTGATGATTTTCGTGACCGCCTGTAGCCTCTTAGGCGGGACAGTGGGAAAGAGCTCGACCGGTGGGAGGACCTCGTGGGAGTTCAATAGAAAATTGTACTGTAGTAGGGTTCTTGTTCCTAGTAGCAAGGCCAGGAGCCCCTAGTAGCGTCCTTGCTCCTAGTAGCGATGCCAGGAGCCCATAGTAGTAAATTATGTCAATGAAAGGGTGGCTTGGTTCCTGAGAGGAGCAAGGACATGCATGAGTCATGGCTTGACGTCAATGCATCGGCTCGTCGTGATGCAGGTCCCGTGTGACAGAGCCGAGCCTGTCAGGTCGGTAGGTGTATGCTCGTCAAGGCGAGGCATATGTGAAGTAGTGATGTGCCATCGACCATCTTCAACCTGAAACCAAAGACCAATCTTCATGACGACCTTCTGACAACAAGGTCATTGTCTTTCATGACATTGAAGTTAGTAGTCACGACTATGCTATACTAACTTCAACGATATGAAGAACAATGACCTTGGCTATCCTCGGGATGCCCTAAGGAACACATCTTAGGATCGCTCAGGACGTCTGAAGCTGCTGCAAGCGCTATACGACAGGCTTTAGACCCACACCACCCACGGCAGTTTGGCAAGTCACCAGATCAAAGAATCAGATCGGCTCGTCGTGTTTCTTCACCGCTCGTTGGCTCGTTGTTTCTTCACGCCCAGATCTCTCACTCCTCGGGTTGCTTATTGGGTCGCTTGGGTCAGAGGTTTCTGGCACCTTCGGTCGCAGCTTGGGCTTCCGAGGTTGTTGGGGGCACCGATATAACAGAAGGCATGGACAGGATGCTAGATATATTCTTAGCCATTTCTTGCCAACTGTCTACGCGAAAAGGGCCTAGTGTTGGATGTATCCAAGTCTGTTGGAGGCTTCCGGAAGTGGATGGACCGTTCTTTTTACTTCCAGTTCGATCATGACAGAATGCCAGAAACAATTCCAGAAACACGGACATTCATAGAGAGGTAGCCAGTGCCCGTAAATAGGACCTTACTGGGGAACCTTGGGATAGGCTAGGGATAGGGTCCTGACCCACCTCTGTTGGTAGGTCATTCAGGTTCTTTCCTTTTGGATCGCCAGGCTGCAGTGCTCGGGAACTCCTTGCAAGCCTTTGTACAGAGGACGGTGAAACCGGTCCTCGCGGTGAAACCGGCGCGGCACGGTGAAACCCGTGGTGAAACCGGCGGAGCACGGTGGCGGCGGTTTGTCGTTTCAGAACGGGGCGGCGGTTTGGTCGCAATTTCTGATACCACTTCCAAGTTGGTTTGCTTGATCTACTTTGAGCAGCATGGAAGTGATGTCTTTTTGAGGGTTGGAAGCTTATTCTTCTCCTCACCTGTGAGAGTTGAGATGCGACATGTACCAATTTGCCTCCAAAATGTGCCAGAGGACTCATCATCCACAAGTTCATGACAGGATGCTGGTGATTCCCAATTCTATGACCTACATACCTTATATGATCTTATATATTCTTATTTATATATTATCATATAATATACACAGTATATATCTAAATATATAAGGTCATGTGACCTACATTGCATGGAGTGGAACTGACAGAATCATTTAACTTCACCCTTGTACGGCCTTGTTTCAACCAACGGTGCTTTTTTTTCCAGAGGCTGTCGACGGGAGGCCGTCCAACTTCCGGGTTCTTTCGCGCGGGAACCGTTTTCGCGGGAACAGTGGTTTGGAAAGGCTGGGTATTTTGTGGCTATTTTTGCGTGCGGTTGGTTTTTTGTGCAAGTGGTGGCAGTGGTTCTTGCCTTTTCCCTGAGGTATGAAAGGCTTAGTGAAGTGATTTTGGTCCCTGTCCAACCCGGAGACTGTGTCTGAGGAGTAGTCCGATGGCTCAAATCAATCAATGTGGTGTAGATGGTCACCGCAGGGCAGAATGTGTGTTTAACTGTTGTGAGATCGTTTACCGCAGTCCTTCCTAAGTTGCCGAAGCGAGCGGGCTGTCCTTACGGCGGCATGAATCATGAGGCATATATGTATGTCATATACATAATATGCAGTTCTTAGTCTTTGTGATTGTCCCTGGGTGAGCTGGAGTGCAAACCAAACATTCCCTAGCAGAGCCCCAGCTCTTCACTGCTTGGATATCTGACTGTGCAGTCAGGAGGGCCAGCCACAGAAGACGAGAACCTTGGCCCGGCTGTGTCAGGCACACCCTGCTCCTTGCACTTTGGTTCGTATCAGAATGCCTGGAATCGAAGCATCGCTGGTTGTGCTGATCTTGAGGTTGGATCGGTTGGATCAATTGGTTTTATGGCAGTACACCGAAAAACCCGATTCTCAACCCATTCAGTCAACATGACCCAAATGGAATCCAGGTTCTATTCCTAGAAAGTCCAGCTTGGACGTGTTGAGCAGAAACATATTCCAAAAAGTACTGTATAGGTATCCCTAGATAGCTCTTCCTTCCCATGCTTGCTTGGTGGACGCCACGAAATGAAAAAAGATACCAGTCGATCGATCGGTTCCAGAGAAAAGGCGGAGCGAAAGAAGCGAAGAAATCTGAAGATCTGAAGATATCAACATGCTGCAGGTCGAAACCAACCCAGTGGTTTTGGGGTTCCATGTTAATCTATTAATCTGCAGGGGAAGTATATATACTTGTACAAAAAGGGGATGGGTGCCATGTTAACAGCTCGTTCTGCTTGCAGGGTGACTGGTGGCACTTTCCCCAGCGACGCCGAACGTGAAGACATGGGATGTCCAAAGAGATGTCCAAAGTAAAGACACGGAACTTCCCACGAGATCCACCATGGTTAATGACTCAGAATGCTCCAACGGTAAGACGTATGGATCTGACACGGTGTTTCGATGTGTTTCGGTGGTCAGGCTGCTCCAGACTCCTCCTCTCCTGCTTGATCTAACGAAAACTGCAGGTATGCCACCTGAACGAGTTTTAAGCCTTATTGTGCTGGTGGTCTTCCCTCTCGCCTGCCAGAAGAGTTCCTTGCCACAGTTCTGCAGTGGAGTTGTGAAGAGGTCCAGCTTCCGCTGGGCGGTGGCTGGTGGTGCCTGAGAGCGTGATGAATTCAATCCATGATTCTTGATGATCGTAAGGGACAGAAAAAGGAAGCCACCAAGATGTCGACTTAAGATTTATGATAAATGTAGGAGGACTTAAATGTTCTTTTCTTCTCTCTTTTTCAGGCCGGAAGTAATATGTCGACCGTAAGACATGGTCCCATTGGGCCGGGCTCTTGCCGGTGTTGTCACCTGTACCGGTGTTGTCACCTGCGTCGCCATCCGGTTGCGGCGGTGACGGTGACGGCGGTGACCTTCGGCACCAGTCAAGTGGGAGCACGGCGAGAAGGGAAGAATAATCCACATGGATGAGATTTGATGAGATTTGTTATGTGATCTGAGTCTTTGCTTTCACAGTTCATCCGCATCAGTTGTCCGTTTCGCGGTCCCAACCTGTAACCTGTCCCGACAGATTCGCGGTCCAAGCGTGCAGGAATGATATGTTCGTTACATCCTTCGCTTCATGAACATGCAAAAAACAAAAAGCCCTTTAGATTCATTTCGGAATAGAACAGTCCTTGTGGATGTGCATATCCAACGAAAGTCGACCGGGGACAAGAGAATGAAATTAAGCCAGACTAGAGGTGTATCAACTCATTCTGTTTTGTTGTATATCCGAGGAGGATGAACTATTGCAATGTAACATTGAGAATCATTGAGATTTGAGGGAAGTGACCTCCAATTTGTGGTGGGATCTAGAGTCCACACTGGCAGATGATAGAGAGGTCTCCGATTTTCCGCACCCTTGGCCGGTCACTGGCCGTGCACCGGCCGCGGAGAAGACGCGGTGAACCATCCGGTTTGGTCCGAGGTCTTCACTCCTTGACCAGCATCTCCATGATCAGCTTTGCCGCTTTCGATCTCGAAACTGCGTTCGCGGGGGAGTGGTCGTGGCGGTCTGCCACGAAGAGGCTATCATGCTATATGGTAAGTCATGGTAAGTCTATACTGGAGTTGATGGAGTTGCTCAAACAATCGCTTGGTCGACCAAAACCGCCGGGTTGGATCTGGGGCCTATGGAGACCAGGACACCGTGGGTCCCACCGTGGTCGTGGGCTTCGGTTTCGCCGCTTGTAGCACGCCTTTCGCGCGGAGAATTGAGGCCTCTGAGGCGAGGAAGTCGATTGACGCCTTAAACCCAACACCCTGAGCTGCATGGTTCGAGGATATGAAGATAGTACCAGGTCTAGTGTATCCGCCCAGCCAACCTGTTAACTGTTGGCTGAGGGGTGTTCTCTCAGGATGAACCTCAAAATGATCCAAAATCAAATTCAAAGGAAAATGGGACCAGACCACGCAACCACAGGCATATATTATATATATATATTATATATTATATCATATTTGGTTTCACATGTTGGACCTTAATTACAGCCCGTTGTGGCCCCCGAGAAGAACGGGCTTCCATCCCGAGCTCGTCTCAGGTTTGCTTGGCCTACTTCTTCGGGGTTCTACTCGTGAGACTGGCCCACCGAGCCCCCAGACGGAACGACGGAGGTTTCGGCGGAGCCGTGGTGGTTCGGACGGACCGTGGCTGGGACCGTGGCTGGGTATCTCGGAGTCCGGTTGAAGAGTGAATACAGGTGATACATTCATCACCACTCTTTGTGATACATTCTCCTACTAAGCATCACATTCTCCTGTCGGGGGTGCAAGATGGATGCACCCCAAAACTGAAGGCTGGAAGCTGTCAGTTCGACCCAAGCCCCTGGCCGCCTTCAAAGACCATTCAAAAATCATTGACCTGGTTTTGTAGCGTAAAACCCGAAAACCCTTAGTATTTCTTCAAAACAAAAGGCTAATGAATCAATGGTGTTGCGAATCCTAGCGATAACTGTCCGGCCAAGGCAATGAGCGCTCCTCTTGAGTTCATTGACATGGGCCAGGAGGAGCAAGACCTTCGCGGACGCACGGAGTACGCCAGCGACGTCACCTTGTGTGCTTGTAAGTAATGTAGAGAATTCCATCATGCGGGAGGACTTCCCAGTGAAGTTTACCTTTGCGTGCCAGGACATGCCACTGTTTTGGCAGGGCCCACCAGTGCTACTGATGTCCTTCCTTTGCCACACCACGATGCTGCAGGTGGGGTGGGGCATTCTCCATGTGAGTTGGCTTCTTTCAACAGTTTGTTGGACCATTCCCTGCGACACTTCACGATTTGCTCAAGTAAGTCCATGGGTCAAGTCAGCTGACTAGCTCTCTCAATCGGTTGACGTAAATGTATATGTATGCGCCGGATGGTCCCCGGATATTTTGTCGGGAGTTTTTCCCATTCAGCCAACTACGGCCTTTTATTGCTCAAACTCTTGGAAATCCCAGCGAACCCCACAGCTCTTCTGGGCGACGGATCAGCGCTTCACGTTTCGTAGACGACATCACCTGGTCTGGGTGCGTGACTTACCCGGCTCTGCGGTGGCGTGGCGGCCTCACTCGCTCAATCTCACCTCTTCCCTATCTTTTTGGAGCTCAGCTCGCTTGATTTGACACACCTCGTTCCTTTCTTCAAATCCGTTTCGGCGCACCTTGTCACGACGTGGTGCGGCTGACCTCGTCCGAAGTCCCTCCAAACGTGCGCGAACTCCGCGAACCAACGCGGCGACTGGGAGACGAGTTGACAGCATTGGTTCAACTACTACAATTGTAATGGCCTCCAACCTACTAGCGATGGCCTCCAGCCTAGTAGCTTCTTTGGAGGATCGGCTTTTTGTGAGGAAGATGGAAGATGATTGCCCCTTTTAGGAGGGTTCCTCCTAGCTGCCAGGGATCGGTCGTTTTGTAGCAGCATCTAATGCTGCTAGCAGTGCTTTCCATCACATCGCTCCTTTGCTCAGTTGGATGCAGAACTTTGCACAGAGGCCAAAGCAAAGGCGGGGATGGGAGATAGATGCAGATAGACGAAGGCACAATGAAGGAGGGGTCCCAAAAAAATAAACAAGGCCATGGAAAGTTGTGCAACATGGTTTAACTATGGGGTATCTGTGTATATCCATGAAAACTCTCGTCGGCAAAGGAACAAAAGAGTATACTTTGTTGTTCCTTTGCCCATGAACACTCATGGATATATTTACACAGATCCCCCAGATCATCCCCAGGAGGATGGTGGAACGAACCACGGGACCTCAGGACCTGGTGTTCGAGTGTTCGTCGTGACAGAGGATGAAACATGCGGTAGTTCGGCTGTCTATTCGAGTGTTCGGTATTTCACCATATTTTCGGGCGGTTCATGTTTGGTATTTAGGGATAGTTCGGGCTCCTCGGTCTGACCGAGACATATTGGGGCCCTGAAACAGGTGGTCCAGATAAGACATGGTCTTGGGTGCCTTCGATGGAGATGACTTGGGTCACTCTGCCCATGGAGGGTCTCATTGAAGTAGCCTTGGAAGTGGGACTACAAGTTCAAACAGGATATACAATATGATGTACGGAAATCAATGGTTCAATTTTTTTCAGGTTTTACAACATGTCGTTCTATATTCTATTGTTGATCTTCAGGAGAGCATTCAAAACGAAGGACACCAGGGGTGGCGTCTCCCTCTCCGCGCACAAAGATTGGGGCGTTTTTGGCCGCTTGGGGCGGGTCTACGTATACATCGAGAGCCTTCACTGTGAGCTGATCGAACCAAAACACGTTCTTTTTGGTTAGCTGACAATCCCAGACGCTCCATGGGACTAGCATATTTACATACATAGGGGTGGTTTGGGGGGTCAATGTAAGCATATATGGCAGTGCCTGGAGTGTCTGACAATTCTTAGATTGTATGTTTACACAATTCCACAGCTGCTGCACCAACTGGTTCAAGGACTCGATTCGATCTGGTGGTGCCATGACGCTAGAGAGACACCAGAGTATAGACTAAAGTCTAGACATACCACTCACAATGTTCGAGGATGGGATACTTACAACCATGGACCATAATTCACCCGCTTGATGGTTTCCTGCGACCTTCTTGAATTCTTGAGAGCAGCAACACAAGGCTTGTCCCTTTGGCTCATGAGCCCCAGATCTTCATGAACCAGTTGGTACACAGCTGGACCCCCTTGCTGGACCTCTGTCTCTCTTCTAAAACAGTGTAAAAATGCCTTCGCACCTGATCGTCAACGCGGAAAAAGAAAAACCAACAAAACGCTCTCCTCAGGTCTCTTCGGTGATCCGCCTCGTGGTGCTGGGCCTGGCTCTGCCGGTCTACGCCACCGTGGGCGCCGGAGGCTTCTGGTTGAAGGGGCCCAAGGTCTCAGCGAACGTGCTGCAGGCGGGGGGGGGGCCGTGCGCTGGCTGGCACCGCCGCGGTGTTTGCGGAAAAAACCAAGCAGCTCACTTACAGTGGTTTCAGAGTAATTAGATGGCACTGGCACCCCAAGATGTCTTTTAGATGGGGATCCATATAAACCACCTTTTGGTGATTGTGCCATCTACTCTCAATCCACTGTAAGAAATTAGATCGGTATTTTGTTGGCCAAGACTGACTACTGAGTGACTAGAGTATAGGTTAATGGATGGTCACTCTCTTTTGCATCAGTCAGGAATACATCTGAGAGGTGTTATATACTCAGCCTGGGGATGAAGCCTTAACACCCTCAGACTATGTACCCATAGATTTTGTCCATTGCAGTCACAAAGACTTAAGACTTGACCAATACCAATTGAGTATGAAGCATTGGCCATTCAAAACTCAGCTTGTTGTACTGGTAGAGCCGTTTTCGACATTTGCCTCATTTTCGGAACTGCACCGGCCACAAGAACCCTAGGGCCCACGTCGCGGATGCGTGTGTCGCGGATCCTCCCTGGCGTGCCGTCGTTTCCTCCGGTCGTGCGTCGTTTTTGCGTGTTGGTGTCGTCTCCTCCACACACGTTTGTTTTGCTTTGGGAGTGTTCCACTTCTCTATCTTTTTGTGCCAACTATAACTACCAGGACCCTCCAACAGGTCTCCGAAATGGTAACTTTTGCAGACTTCAAAGTCGCAGGTGGTGACCTGTGAAGTCGGGTGCTGGTATAGATGACACGAACCAACAAGGGCGGCCACCCACCTGGGCCATCTGGGCCGACCTCGACTTCGCCGAAAACGTCCCTCGCGCCATGTCCAGGACTTCACCCAAGACCCCTGGATGGCAGCAGCCCGCCTCACCTTGGGTGTCATGCCCCTCGGCCACGGCGATGCCACGGTGATGTGGTGGTGAGGTCGGGGAGTTGATTGGAAAGATACCATCTTGGTGGGAGGAGGTGATTGGTGTTTTTGTTGTTATTTCCCCTGTGGAGTTGGAGAATTTTGTGCCGCGCCAGGTTGAAGGTCCTGATGTTTTCTTGTTCCCTGTGACTACTAGTGACTCTTTTTAGGAAACACATGGTCCATGGTGTGCTGATACATTTGTTGTCCATTTGGGATTCTATTGGGAATTGTACCTTAAGCACATCTTGAGGGCATTTCCGGGTGCCCCGCGGGCACGGCACGTGCAGCAGCACCTCGAACGGACCCCCAGGAACGTGGCCAAGCTGGCCACCGCGGTGATCACGCTGCGGGAGGCGCAGCTGGACGATGGAGATGAAGGAGTGTGGTAAGACAGGAATGGAAGGAGGGCCAACCATGAGAGAACCACCTTTGGGCAACGACTCGTCCTTTTTAGGAAGACCAGAAGCAAAACAACATTTTGGAGACGAAGGACAGGTTCCCCCAAACACCCTGGAACACTTCGGAAGCCATGAAGTTCCTCCCCAAAGTGTTGCACTCACTCACTCATTCACTCCGCTTCACTCCGCCACCACCGCAGTCCTTGGTTTCCTTGGCGCCTTCACGTTTGTGGCGCAAGCGCCTTCGGAGCTGGCACGGCCGAGCCGCCTTGAGCCTGGCGACGCTGGTGCTGGGCGCGGTGGCGGCCTTTGCCACTTCGGAGTTCACGGACGGGGCCGTGGGACACGGCGTGACCGTCGCGTGACCGGTTTTCGTTCTGAGTTCGAATGGAAGACGTAGCGCAAGTCGTCCAACAACGGCCGTTCCAGCCGACCGTCGGACGCGGAAGAGACGAGGCCGGCTCCGATGGAGCGGAACGGGGGTCCGCGCCTGCGGCTGAGGCGATCCCTTCGCTCACCACGGTGCTTTCGCTCTTGGGCTCCACCGTGGGAGTTCTTTTCAGCCGCTTGGTGGGCTGGATGTTGGGATGGGTGGCGATTTGGAGGTGCACTATACTGTAGGCATTGTAATGATACTAATGATATCCAAGGAAGTCACCTTGGTGATCCTTGGTGGCTCACAACATCTCACAACCAAACTAATTTATGCGTGGGACTTGGTGTATGGACAGCGCCATCAGAGATGTATGGGCTTGAATCTCATTTCCGGTTCTTTAGGAGCCCTTTCTGTGTCCCTTGTCTCGCGGTTGAGGATTCTTGAGACTAACTGACTAACTGTATCCTTCCCCAAGTAAGGGAGGGGCTCTCAAGCGCACCCCCATTTCTGCTCAGATGTTGTCACACCTCACCTTGATGAGGTCTTTGTTTGCCTGCGGCTCTCTATGCCATGCTGTCGGGGTCTCGTTGTGGATTGGCGTTCCGAGCTTGGATGTCGCAGAAGGATGGCAGTGTCAGTAACACAACCAGTAACACATAGTAACACGTTTGACAAGAGTTCAACACAACTGGAGGGAGAGAGCCGTGGGTATCTGCAGTTGATCATGGTTTCATCATCACTGTCCATAGTCTCCGAGGCTCCATTCATACTCCATGGAGTGTAAATAGCACCCAGAAGTTGACAGGGACTGACGGGAAGATGTACATTGACCCCATCAGAACCTTCCCCGTTGGCAACAGGGAAAACACAAAAATCCGCTGAACGGACCGTCCAAGATCTGCAGAACAAGGTAATTGGGCGGTCAGCTGAGGAGAAGTGGCCAACTGGCTCAAAATGGGCCAACTACTTCCCCTTTGCCCTTTGTCCATTGGCAAGCTCAAACCTGATAAAATTGAAAGAAGATACCAACCTGTAGCCTATTAGCACTGGTACCAGTACTGGCATAAAAAGTCGTTCTTTCTGTGAACCGTCTTTGGGGGCCAGCCGTATTTGGATCACGGGCCATGTGTTCAAAACCTTGCAGCTCCGTGGGAGGCTGCGACGCGTCTCCAGTTTCAAGTGCAAAAGGCCAGTTTTTTCTCCGTCGCTTCGGTTCGTAGTCGTGTTTGGTGGCGAAAGACTTGAGTGCAGCTGCATTTCTAATCTAGGATGAACCGAAGCATCTAGTGCATGCACGTGAAATATAACTGATAGGTGGGATTGACGGCCATTGCAGGTGATTAGTTTAGGCAAGGACTGGGTCTATAGTCTATATAGGGAAGGTACTTTACTAGTCCGGACGATGCAATATTGAAGGCACAGTTTCAGGCTGATTCAATTTGGTGAACATCCATTTTGGGTTGATTTAGAGACACCTGTAGTCCAATCTTCAGAGGCCCACTCTTACATAATTCCCTATAATGTCGACACCGGATTAATCAACCCTCCCCCCCCCACCCTTCAAGGTCAACAAGGTCAACAAGGTTTGGGCCTCCAGCTGGGCTTGATTAATAGAGGGGGGTTCCTTAATCCTGTGTTGACATTAGCTAATATGTAGATGCCCCCAGCAAGCGACGTCAGCGACCCAATTCGCTGAGCCTCTCTGGTGCTTCCGCTTCCGCTCGGGCCGATCGGGCCGAAGACGCGTCGTCTGAGTCAATCCTCGACGCGCAGGGACGACTTGGAAGAACCTTTGCTACCTTCGACGCCGGGACGAGCGGAAAGCTGGGCAGAGGGCTCCATCCAAGTTCCTCGCAGTGACATGGAATGGCTGCGACAATGGCTCCTCGGACGGAAGTTGGAGCAGCCAAACTTCGGGACTCCACGAGTGGACGAAGTGGACGTCGTTGGAGTTTCGGGGGAAAACAGTAGGGAGAGTGTAGCTACAAATGGACCAGGTGATATCTGGACCAGGTCGTACAGAGCAAGAAGTGAACGAATCCCCTCAATGTTGAAGTCATCCCAGTTCTGCTCCAAGCGAGCCACTCAGGCCACTCTGCCAGGCAAACGACATGGTGTGCTTCTTCATGTCAAGTCCACCGATCCCGCTCGTCCACCGATCCGCTGACCAGGTGTCGGACCGGGTCCCGGACAGCTGACAGCTGTTATGATAGGGATGGAGACGAAGTCCCGGTCACTGACTGATATATAGGCTTTACATATATTAATATATAACTTATAGCTTATATATAATTTATATATATAATAGGCTCAGTCGGTTTCTTTGAGGCTTTCCAGAAAAGGGGAGCCTGGCCCAAGGGATGAAACATGACGCCCCCAATGTTCTCCTCGACGTCAAATCCATCGATGGGGCCAAGCTGGGATCTGTTGAAGCGGGAGATGGCTGGGACAAAATGTGCTCCTGGGACAGCTCGGGTCACCAAAATCTTTTCGACAGCTCTTGCCGATCCCGTGGCGAAGTAATCAGTTGTAAACTAAGTCAAGTGCACCAAGCTCAGCTGACTGTGAGTCTAACATGTGGACATGTGGGTCGTAAACGTACCCCGGACCTCCAAATAGTCTTTTTGTGAGAAGGTGTTTGAGGTGTGTTTGGAGGGACAGAAGTCCTTCTGAGGTGTTTGGAGCCGTAGGGGTGTGCACAACAATGCCAACAAGCTTCATTCATTTCGGCCACGTCCCCGTCCCCAAGGCTTCTGTGTGGCGTGGTTTTCACCGGTGGCCTCTTCGTAGGAGGCCGGAACTAGCGGGAGCGGTGATGACACGAGCTTTCCCAGCAGGTTGGGAGTGTGGTCCCTCGCCCGCCGCAATATCCACATGGGACACTAAAAACACCGACAAATATCGGACAAATGCACATAAGGAGATGGAATTTCAATTTGTGGTTCTGTGCTGAAAGCAGGAACATTGAAGACTCCTCATCCCCACATGACCACGAACGTCAGGTGCGAAATACGACGAATTTATTGTAGCACACATGTTGGTTGATTCTTCGGTCGGCTCTTGCAGGATTTGAATTGACATACAGATGTTTACATCAACTATTTTGCAGTCCTATTTTGACGAACAGTCTACACTAAAAGTATAGATGCAGGATTCCCCTGTATAACCTTATGCACCTACTCGGACCTACTCAGTACCTGCTCATTTCCCTCCAGGCTTAGGGCTTCTGTCCTGGGCCCGAGACCCTTAACCGCAACAGCGGAGTGAGAAAAGTGCGGCAGGGAGCGAGAGGAACGGCTTTGCGGTTGCAGGTTTCAGAAGTTCAGGATTTGGGCTAGACCATGCTAGATCTCAAGATGAGACCGCTTGGCTTTTGGCTGAAAGCGGTGTTTAGCCTGACAAAGTTGTTTTTTGGCCTCACATCCCGAGCTGGTGGGAATCCATGTGAACATGTGAAATCATAGCTGTTCTCCGTGCCGTGTCCAAGAGGACACATTGGTCTGTTTGAAAATTGCCGTTGGAAGAGCTGTTCTTCTACCCATCGAAGAAGAACCTCTTACGTTTTAAAACCAACCCGTGTGTCGATCGTTGCAGAAAAGAATGAAAAAACTGGCCACTACACCACACCACAGTATCGTTCTCATCCCAAGATCAGCTGCTATTAATATATCATATGTGCAGGTGTCTCAAAATGGATTCACCAACCAATCGTTTTTTCTTTTAGGTATTTTGAGGTGTCCATCACTCTTGGGCAGACCCACCTTGGATGCCAGAAGCAACTCTGTTTGGAGTTGTCCCATCTTCGAGGACTCCAACAACTCAGGGGCGGTCCCAACCCTCGCGAAGCTACGTATATACAGCTGTACATGCGTGTGAAAGTCCAAGTTCCAATCGATACGGTATGTCAGGCACATCCGGTTTCAAGGTGATGCTTCAGCCATTTCGCTCAGCCGTGCTGATCGCTTCGGCCGCTGGTGGCCTTTTGGGCTGCCGTGGGGCGGTAGTAGTTGGACGGCAGCTGCTGGCAGGTGGGCCTTTTCGGGGAGGAGCATGGGAGTCCAATGTAGACACTTGATCCATAAAACCCGGCTTCAAACACCCTGACAGGAAGAAACTATAGGTCCTATAGGCTTGTGCTTCTCCTTAAGGAGAATGAGTTGGAACACATCTTTATGGGGCACTGCAAACAGTTGCTGGGGCACAGTAGTCAACAGCCTGGTTCCCGCTGAGTAGATGTTTTCGAACCTAGTTTTTACAATCTCCTTCATTGCGAGTTTTGCCTCATAGCCACGCTAGCCATGGCTCGGAATGTATATGTCCAAACCTAGACCCCCGAAATTGCTTCCGCAAGTGTCCTGTTTTAACTTCATGTACTAGGTACTTAAGTCGACTCAGCTTGTGTACAGTCGACTCGAAACCGTGTGCCCTTGCAGAACTGCACTCCGCAGGGATGTCTAAGCGTAGATTGTATTGATCTATAACATTCTATAACACATGTTTGTGTTGTGCCCATGGTGTGCCTGATTGTCACTTGTTTGTATTTATGAATCTGTTCTTTGGGGGAGGGCACCTTCCACAGGGGTGAAGGGTCAAGGATTTGTGACAGTCTTGATGCAGAGCTCCTTGGGCCCACGCTCCACTGCTGCTGCTGCTGCTTCTGGTTGGCTGCTGCTGCTCCTGCTGCTTCTGTTTTGGTTGACCGTAGGAAGGATGTAGGACACATGCCATTGAGATTTGGGCTTGACACATCTAGAAAGCACGGCCAAGTGCCTGCCATAACACAGTGTGCGCACACTTTTCCTTGAACATATCATTTTCCTGCCGTGCTCATTTTTCAAGTGTGCCCAGTGTGCTTTGACCAAAGTGAGTCGACTTCACGCGAGCGGGTTGACTTCCTCGCTGAAACCTTGTGCCCATGCAGTGAGTTGACTTCACGCGACGTGGGTTGACTGAAGTACGCCGCTTGTACGCTCTATGCCCCAAAAGCTGCGTGTTCATTGAGGTTCTTAGCTCTTGATCTTTCTATTGCGGCCTCTACTCCGACCTGATGTCTAAGACCTCCTACTCTACTTGGTCGTAGTCCTGGACTCCAGGACGACGTGCCTCGATCAGTATGATCCAGGTCACAAACCAGGTGGAGAAGTAAATAGAAGTAATTGCCAGGTGAATCACCAGGTGGATGATATAGTTTTCCCAATAACCAGGTGGACAAGTAACAAGTCGGTGACTGCAAAGAAAGGTCGTTCACTCACTCTTTTGCAACGTCATCCCACGGTGATGACGCTGCCGGCAGAATTTGCCCTTGCTGTGTCGGTTGTTTTGGTCCGACAAACCCTTTTTGTACCCCAACGTGCGGTGGAGGGGAAGGAGGGGGAGATTTTGGATCGCGCAAGCAAGGGTTGCCCCAAAACCACGGGCAATTGACATCGCAGTCTGCGTACGTGTTAATGTCAACCAGGGGTCCCCCATACCGTATACCCAAATGGGCAGTGTGTCCAAACCTGCAGCCCAATTCCTGGTAGGTTGACCCTATTCAGCCTTCATGCGGTCAACCCGCATGCCTTCATGCGTGTCATACCAACACTAATACCCTTTCCATCCCCCGTTCGGGGGCTGCTGGGCGCCGTGTGTCCACGCAAGTCCCGCGGACTGGTCAACCAGGGTCCCCCTGTCTTGACCCGCCAAAGATCAGCGCCTTTTTTTGGACCGCGGACGCCTGCACGGCCATCACCAGACTGCGCAGGTGCGGTGCCGTCACGCGATGACGACGGCGACCGAGCGTATCAAAAACCTGGAGCCTCGTCGATGGAGCCAATGGTGGGGCGTCAAAGTTCTTTTTTGTTGGTGTACACTGCGCCTCACTAACATGGAAGTGGACACCCCCCTGCTTGAAAGTAGTCTTCCAAGGGATCATTTTCCATTTCGATGTTAGGGAGTTGGAGTGTAGACCAATGTTTTTCGGCCCAAAAGGTCTTCGTATTCCGGTTCCCCAAGGTCGAGACTGGGCCACTGCAGCTTCCTCGTATCAGACCTCGTATCCTGGGGATGAACCCTCGCGGAGTGAGATCCCAGTTCTGGCCCCTCCCTTTGTTCGCATCACTGGCACTTTTGTGCGTGCGAAGAAGATGGAAGGAACCATTGATAAAGAAGGAAAACACTGGCTCTTGACATTCAAACTTTTGTCGCAGATTCTTGCCTTATTGATTCTTGATGATCTTGATGTGGTGTGCGACAACGTTGTCCACTGGGTGGTTTCGGACCGCCGCCTACCAACTACAGATGTGAATTGGACAAGCTCTATGGTTGGGCTGCCCCCTGGTTCATAACCAGTTTCATCACCATGCCAACACGTACACCTCTCCTGTTGATCCGTGACTCATCATATTCACCGAACCTGTTCGGACTGCAACTCCTCGGTGTGACTCAGGACTGCAACTCCTCGGTGTGGGTGACCAAGGATCAACGAGAAGCAGGTGTCGCGACCCGCGACCCGCGACCCGGAGCGATCCGGAGCGATCCGGACGTGTCAAAGGATGCGCTGTTCAGAGTGCCAGCGGAGGTTTGGTTTCTCTCCCCACATTGGATGTCATAGTATAGGATCATCCAGCAGGCGCTATTTCGGTGCAAGAGGACTAGGAGGTCTTCCCTATGTTTTGTGGGGTTGTTTCCCTTCCCTTCTACTGATTGTTGTCTCCTTTCTGCGCAGCACAATAGTCCCCTAAGTGATCGGGAATCCAAGAGCATCCACAAACTGATCAAGCTGTTTAGGATTGAGGTCTACTCTGCCATACCGGTTCCCAACACCCCATGACAGATGTTTACTTCCAGCCGCAGACTCCGCTCGAGCAGCATGCTGGGATGCCGCCCAACGGTCTGTCGCGGACGAGCGTGTGACCGACGCATTTGCGAGTGCCGGACCGAACGAGGACCCGGGGGGTGGCCACACGAGCGGGACTGGGTTCGAAGCGTGGTGGGAAACATGTGGTTCGATATTTGGACGGCCTGGCGCCGGTGTTTTGGCCTTTTTTTTGCAGTCTCTTGTGGAAGCCATCACTCACCGGTGCAGGTCTCAAGTACCTGGTAGAGAAACATGCCAGGCGGGCTGGCCTGTCAGTCGGTGGGCTTGGTTGTTTGGTCTATTATATAACAGTTTCCATAGGTACAGAACACAAGGTGCCGTTGTTGCATGTCATGTGGTGTATATATGAAGCTATGAAGAAGTATTCTTTGAACCCAAAGTGTGTGTCAGCAGTGGGTATACGAAGTGGGTTCCTGTGCTTGCTAGGTCACTAGTTGGAGACGAGCTCCGGTTGTCTTAGAGGGTATGACTTCAGCTTGAACCAAATTGTCTTGAAATACCTTGCCCCGCACTACATGAAAAATGACTTGCCTCTCCCACGTGATGACTACTTTCCTGGACAAAAGGGATTATGTGTTCCGTGCTTTCCAATGTCTTGATAATGGTAGGCAGTTGGTAGGGTACAATGTTGCTGCCCCTCTTTGCGGATGGAAGAAACATCCTGCACCACCTGTTGATGAACCAGTTCGCCATTCGTGTTGAATCCAACTAATTCCATCCAACTGCCTCCCATCAGCAGCGAAAATGAATCCATAGCCACGTGTTTGTTACAATCAAAAATCATATTGAACATCGTGGACTATTTGCTTGATCCCCTTGTTTGTGTACATGTACGGCACGCACATATACAGTATTATATATATATGTATATATACACATGCACATATATACATATAGACTGTACTGTATATACAGTATATATATATAAATATTTGTGACACCATTCCCCCATGGCTTCACTTCATTCAAAACCGGAACCCACCGGCGGAACCCACCAGACCGGTGAAACTCGGCCATCACTGCCTCTGCGCTAGGCAAGGTGCGGCCATCACCGCCCGGACTCTCTCCGGTCTCATGGCCAACGGAGAGGAGGAGGCCAAACGAGCCTCGGAGAGGTGGAAAGCGAACGAAGCGCATCGGTTTTTGCCAACATGCTGATCCTGCGCCTAGAACGCCAAGACGCTGTAGAGTGCACAAAGGAAAAGCAGGTTGCGTCTTTTGACAGAGTTTCATTATTTTTTGTCCCTAGCAGCTGGTTGCTGTTGACCCTTTACACATTGCGTATCATTGCGTCCTTTGCTTTGCCAGTACTGGCTTGTATTGTAGACTGGAACCTGGTGATCCTGTGCCCGTTCATCCCCCAAATCTCTGATATATGATGGTATGCTACTTCTCATGTGGGTCACTCCAACCAGTGAATTCTTTCTCTAATCTAGCCAGACAGGGAATGACGTAAAGGATTCTGAGTTGATGTCGTGGTTGAGCTGTTTATGTTGAGCGTTGCAATCACTCGATCATTGTCTGTGCTTGGCGGCCAACACTGAGGAGAAGAGGCCGAGAAGTCTCAGTTTCTCGCAGCACTTGAATATGGGTGAGTTTGCCGAAGAAGTAAACACGAGAAGCATAGCCATGAGCGGTGCTTCTCAATTCATTGTTAATGTCGATTGCTGGGCAGTTGCTCCTTTTGAGATGTTGCTTTGGCTGGTTTAAATTTAAGAAGAATCAGCAAAACACCCCTGCCGCATGTCTTGCTCTCACTGGTCTAGTAGTAACAAGAAGCTAGTAGAAACAAGTGCTCTCCCGCAAATTCGTATCTCAGTCTCAAGATGCCCATTCTCATCCTGGCTTCCCTTCAATCCAACCGGTGGTCCCAGTGCTCAGTGCAGTGCGCTTCGGAGACATGAAGCGCCAACGACGCCCAAACGGTACAGATGGGAAGGAGGTCCTCTTCCTCAAGCTGTTTGGGTGTCCAATAGACTACCCTAGCCTACTTACAGGTCTCCAGACAGGGCACCCGTTGAAGTGCTAGGTATATATAATATATCGACATTAAAACCATGATACGTTCTTGTTCGGAGAAGAGCACTGGGGAAAAAAGGATGAACAAGCGGATGAAAAAGGGGGCAATCATCAGCTAAAGCAGCTCGTTGGACAACAAACAGGTGAGACTTAAGCCGCCATCCTTTCGTTTCACGCCGCGGCGGCTGTCTCCTGTGTCGCCGGCCGAGGAAACGGCAACGGGAGGGCGAAGTGGATGAGCTTAAGGCCGAGATGGCCAAGCTCGAGGAAACGGCTGCTCGGCAGCGTTCGTTCGAACACGTGATACTATCTAAATCAATCTCATATCGTCAAACATAGCACTGCGCTTCATAAATCTAAGGCGGACATGAGGAAATTCCCGCAAGGGGACCTCACAACAACTCCTAACTTTGCTTGGAGAGGACCTCAATTTTTACCGCAAATCGACCAGAAAACGGTGTTTTTGCAAAAAACTCCCCCTCAGTCTGGAAAGCTTGACCGATTGGCTACCGTAGATTTACCGTGCTGATATGGAAGGGCTGAATGGGCCAAGAACGGGACATGATAGAAGCACCCCACGGCAACCAAAAGTTTACCATCCACGTACCTGCCTGATGGCAGCTTTCAAGCAGCATGTGGAGACTGTAGAGCAGTGTGCAAGCCCGGCAAGCCCTGTCCAAAACACATGGCAGCCCACTGGGCTGGTTAACAGATGTGAAAAGCATGAAAAGAATAGGATGAACCCCCCTCCTGAAATGCAAATTGGTTCCTCAGCTGCTTTTGGACCGACGCGCGGTGCAAGTGCTAACGCTGCAGAGAGCGCTGAAGACGTTCAAGGAGCTACTTGGAGCTCCAGGTGGTCAAACAGACGGAGCTTGCCCTAGTTCAGTGAAGAGGAACTAGTGTCAGGCGTAGCGCTTGGAGCACTTCGAGGCACAGATGCCAGCTGGTGAACTCTGCAGTGCTCACCAAAGCCAGACATTGACCCAAATTCGTTCCCAAAAAGCATTTCAGTACGACTTTCAGTACCTGGTCGAGCGTCTGCCGTCCATCTGATCGCTTCTTCTCGCCTCCGCGACGCGACCGACCTTGAGCCGGTGCCTGGCAGCGCACGCAGAAATGGCACCAGCACGGGGACCTTCAAGCGGTCGGTCGTGCCGGTCGCCGGACCGTGCATCTGATCCACTTGGAAGTGAGGAATGGCACGGCCAGAAACTAACTAGAATAGATGCAGGTGTGTAAGGAGGTGTCTATTGAATCTATTGAAATAGGGAGATTGCCCTAGAAGTCCCTGGAAGAAGGGAAATCGACCAGAACTCATTCGTTGAGGGTCTTCCAAAAAAAAATTGCACGCCCATATAGTAATAGTTGTTTGGCAGGGTCCACAATCCATGTGAGTTTTGATGTGGATGATCATGACCTTTCCAATCCACACATGGTTGTGTCACATGTGGTTCTACTGTATTTTTTCTGTGGCAAAGTCTTTGCACACGTAGCAACGCTGCTCTAATTAATAAACAACCCCAACATAGAAAAGGCTGTAACACACAATCACAACCGTGGGGTCATGACTCCTTCCTGGCTTCCTCAGATTCTACAGAACATCCCTGACCCTCTACAGAAAGACCCAGCCCCCTCAAAGCTGTTCTGAAACCTTGCTGGGAATTGCTTACTGGGACTGGAATGGATTGGACCAAAGTGTTGGGGTCACCCACGACCATCCGACCATTCCCAATAGCTTCGTGTTTATAGGTCTTTGGTCCATGACTCATATAGTGGATAACCATGAATAGCCTTGAACCTTTTTTGGGAATTGGTTTCTCCATGTTTCTCCACTCAGCAAGAGCAGCGGTGAACCTTTATTTCAGAAGGACAACTGCTCAAGAAGTTCAGAGGTCGTCAGATTTTAGGGCTTCAAACAGCTTCCGAGAAGGTCTTGGGTCCCTCCGTCCATCCACCTCAGACACCTTCTCAGAAGCTATTCCGCCCCCGGGAGACTATACAGACGTTCTTCACACGTCGCCGTTGCCCAAGTTGAGGCGCAAGCAGCAGCGCCTAGCCGCTGGCTGGCACGACAGGCGGAGGTGAGTCGAACGCGAAGGGGGGGCCGGTGGCATTCCATGCCAATTGCAGAGGCATTCCACCACCGGATCCACATACCCTCCGAGATGGTGATTGGAGAATATGGGAGAACTGTTCATCGGATTTTCAGAAGGGCATCCATGAATCAAGCGCAGAGAACAAGAGTTAGTTAATGAGTCAACTTCAGATTGTCTGCCTATATTATATAAACATGGTTGATTCTAGCCACACCCGTGCGTCCATCTCAGCACTTTTTGCATGAGCCCATATGGCACACATGGAAGTGAAACATGGGTGGGAAGACCATTCTACAAGCCATGTCCCACAACATAGGCTGTACCCTTGTCTCCACCGGAAGTACACAAGGCCGATCCTTTTAGTATAGGCACCATCCTCAGGGATCCACATACCCTCAGGAGGAAGGAACTTGGACCCTGGATCATCTTGGATCCCTATAGGGCATATCAAGGTGGCATGGAAGATGTTGTGGAGAGAATGCAACTCGTGTGCGCCTGGAGGCAGCAAAGGATGCCAAAGCCAAGAAGCCCATGATCGCCGGCGGCCTCAGACGTGACTACCGACGGCGACAGACGGGCGCGACGGGGGACATAGCGCTGGCCTGGCGACAGAGTGCAGGGAGTCTCCAAAAAGTCTACGGTTCAAGTCGCACCGGTTCACTCGAGTGGTGAGCCCATTGGACTCCTTGGGCTCCAGGGTCCTTCTTGGTGGATTTTGGGAGGTTTTGGGACATCCAAAGGCGTCAGTATGTTTGGTGGCACCCAACTTCAGACATGACATGCACCCAGAGAATCACTTTACCATCTCGAATTCACGCAGGAAAAAACATATTATAAAACACACCTTGCATTGGCGGAATAACGGTTTTTGCCTGGTGTACCCGGAGCTGTCCTTTTTTGCTGCGGATCTTCCCTGTGTGCTACGGATTCTCGCTTCTTTGCAGAAAAGAAGATTGGAAGATACTATAGAAGAACAAGAAACAACTCCGCCGAACATCCTCAATCTTGCTTCCTGGAAATTCTCGGGTGCTGGCCGGAATTTCATGAAATTTCTCAAACTTTGGTTGTTATTTCTGGCCCCGGAAATTCACCTTTGTCGCGGATGTTCCCCTGAGTCGTGGATCTAACCTTACAGAAAAAAACTGTCATGTCCATCAATTTGGAAGATTACAGAAATTATCAGAGTGTTGAATCGACATATTTCAAGATTGTTTCGCTGCTTTTCCTTGCTGTTTACATCAATTATCAGGTGGTCAAGAAGCCAAAGCTGCACGAAACCACGGAAGAGGTGCCGAGGGCCGTTTGGAGCAGTGGAGACACGTTTTGTGCCACACGAGGATACATCAGGTGGGACGAAAAAATTGTATTCAATCCATCGCTGACAAGACACTGGGATGTGATGAAGAATGATGAATTCTGGCCATCCACATCCAATTGATACAAATTGGAATGCATGCTTCATGCATGCTTCATTTGCTCAAAACCCCTCCCTGCCGAGTTCTGAAGACTCCTTTCAGACTGACATCGAAGTGACACCACGGCTGAATCCGCGCAGGATCCGCCGAGCTCCGCGAGCGCACCGTTGGAGTCGTCGGTGACAGAGGCGGCGCCAGAGGCGGGCCATTTCACCAGGGCCGCGAGGGGGCCGCGGGGAGGAGCCGTTTGTTTTTTTTTCAGGTGCCCAGTGGGATGGTGGATGCTTCGCAAACCAGACCCTGATTGTTGTAAACGGGGCCGCAAAAAGCTGGTGATTGGACTGTGAAGTCTGCTGGTTGAGCTCAATTCAACCGAGTTATATATTTAGGTTTGAGGCCGGTTGAAGCAAGTGTCGATGATCGGCGCTCTTTTCGTTGAGGCCTGGAGTCGAGGGCTCAGATGCTTAGTACGGCGCTCTCGTCCATGAGCATTTTGGGGTCCAATCCTCGCTCTGGAAGATGGTAAGCGGGTTCCCTGGCCCAAGCATCGCATGCCACCACTTATTTCACTTCTTAATCGTCTTATATTTCTGTTGTTTTTTTTTGTGGACTAACTGATGGATCACGTTAGCCATGTAATGCCAAAGTATAGTAATGTATATATATATTATATATAGTCTATTTTATAACTACGACTATCACAAAGGGGAAAGGACAGACCATGACTGAGTAGATCACATAGAACAAGCAAGATCTTAAGGTTATAGTATCTCACATTATAGATCATAGGCTACTCTCTTAGTCTTGGACGGCTCCTCGCTCGCGGCTTGGGTGACTCGCGTGAGGCCGGCCTTTTGGGTGGCTACGAGAGCGAGGCGCACGCGCCAGAGCGTGAGGGGCGGGGGGTGCGCGGTGGTCGGAGAACGGTGGCATGCAGCAGAGGTGCCAAGTGTGGAAGAGGGTTCATTGGATTGGATCGGGGCAAAGCACCGAATTGATGCGTTGGGAATCCTGGAAAGATGATCGCGGCGCAGGAGGATGAAGACGAAGAAGATGACGACTGAGTCATACTGAGTCCATCGTCGACTGATTCGATGGCAGACAGCCAGTAGACAGTTGACCGGACCCTGGGGCTGCGTTGGTCGGATTCAGCACCCCGAAGGCTTCCAGGTGTGCGAGGGGCTGTGGTTCCAAACTGACATCCCTGGTCAGTCCAGTTGAAGTCGTGAAGCCTGGTACTGGTCTCTCATGGCTTTGTGATTCGCTTGATCAAATCCGCGATCGGACCATTGCAGCGGCAGAAAGGCCTGGGGTGGAACCAGTTGTACATAAGCTGATTGGCTCAAAAGGCATCAAAAGGCTCGGAAAGGAGGGACTGCCAGGTGGACCGTCCGTTTCTTCTCAGGCTGAGTAAATGTGTTGGGGTGACAGGACTGCCAGATGTTGCCATCCGTTGGGCAATCAAGACGACTTTTTCTCACACGTTGGTCTATATATAGGCCCCATAGAAAAGTAGATCCCCACTAAACATGTATTGGAGAACATTTTTCTACTGGTATTTTTTGGGGGATCGGATCACTATATCAATTGAACAATATATCCTTCAATGTCTAAAGGCCTTGAACCTGGTGCGGAGCTTGTAACCCAAAAAGGAATCACCAGCCCCCCACACGGGTCAGGGCTCAGGGCCGTGGCCAGAATCTCAGGTAGTATCCCCAAAAAGGAAACAGCATAAACAGATCCCCCTTAACCATTTCCCCTAAAGAATGAGTGATCTTGGGTAACTTGGGCACCTTAATGTACCTTAATAATATTTACAAATCAATTTTCTGTTATAAATATCATGCAATATTAATATGACAATACTATATAACACTATATGTCCGGGAGATCACCCCCCAAATTCTAACGGTGATACAAACACATCTCCAAGTTAGTATGTTAGATGGCTGTGGCTCGGAGCATCAATCTCAGCGACCCCACAGGTTGGATGGCCATGTCGGATGGCACTTGACTGTCCCCGAGCCATGCCATCGTCCAAATATCGAGATATGATCATATTCCATCATAGTTCATCCAGTGATGCCTCCGACACGGCCTGGCATAGCCTTGCTTAATTCATGAGATTCATGGGAAGGGGTGTACTCCCTCAAGTTCAAGTACTGCTCCGTCCAGTCAATGGAAAGCGTGGCCTTCCCCAGCGGAGTCCGAGGCGACGAGAGGTCTGATCCGGAGGGCCAAGGCGTGAGGGTGGGGGCAAGGCACTGGGAACCATTTGTTTTTTGTTTCCCGGAAAAGACACCATTCATATCCACTAGATATGAACTGTTCAAGCATATTGCATTGCAGTATATGATGTGTATTTAAAAAAAACATGATGTATAAAAAAAACATAGCAATTAAAACAAACATAACGATAATAATATATGTTTTATTATCATATGATATTGTACTAAAGAAATGCTTAGTGCAACTTAACAGGAATCATTGTTTAACACCCATGATGGAACCATATCCATGAGATATCCTGTTGGGTCCACCAGGTGTGAGGTTTTCAGTCCGATCCCCGGTCCGACCCCGTAGTTGAGGGTTTGCCTATTTCAAGACAGATCCATATTGTTTCAAGGGTATCCTGATACTCACATCGAAATCCATATTCTCATGGAAACAAGGCGTGCATTATTTCAGATTGCTTTCCAAATTCACTCACAACAAGGAGAATTCACTCAACTCACACTTCAGGATGGCCCGGGGGGGTCTCCGTATTCTCAATGGCACACCCGATGGGGTTGTGGAAAGCCAACACTCCAAATGGCCTGGTTGACAATGGTGAGTCCAGTCGCCGACCCGCCAATGGCAAGGAGCGAGCCTGGCTCCGACGCTGAAGGGGTTTTGGTTTGCGTCCCATTTAGATACCCTCGAACACGACCAAGATGGGACCGGCACATCTACCCCTCAGGCCAGGGGTGGTTTTTCTAAACAAGGGGGTCAATGGAGGTCGGCCCCCCATGGAGTGTTTGGACTATACATTAATGTTGTCTCATGTGTCAGAGAATTGAAGTTGGATGGGTGTTCGGACCTGACTCTTGTCGTCGGGGCGCCAGGTGCCTTGGAGGATCAAGTGGTCAAGTCTGGCGACTGGAGGCATGTCCCCGAAATTGATTGAGCATATATATACCTCTAACTTGAGTGACCTCAATCTATGTTGGGTTACAAACCACCCAATTGTTTTTTTCCCTATCAGAACAGGGGCTAGATGGGTTCTAGGTATATATGCATGAGCATGCATGAGCCCTAAATGGTTTTTCTTCCACATTGACTTGATTGCTGCGTTTTGAGGGTCTTAAACGAAGACATGGTCGTGGTCACCACACCTACGAGTTGTGCTGTTTTCGGCGTGAGGCGTGGGCCCATCCACCCGCTCAGAGTATCACCTTTGATATCTGATCATCAAGGGATCATTCTGGATCATTCTGGATCTAACTAGGTCAATTATATAAGTTTGAGGTTTTTCAATTGGGTCAAGGTTTCAAGATCCTGCACCACCAAAATTCCCACGCGTTTGATCGAGACCGCAAAAGGTAGCAGCAGTCGAGACAAAGCAGAAAGCTACAGAGGACAATGAAAGTTCATGTGTTCACCAAGTCATCTCTGGGTTTCAAATCATGGTCTGAAAAAATAGCGGTTCATACAACCTCACCATGTGGGATGGTAAAACCTTTTCATACATACTGGTATATATTACATAGATAGATATAGACCCCCAAATAGATAGAAACGTAGATCTCCACTAAGAATGTATTGGAAACCCTTTCTACAGGGGCTTGATCAATCAAGAGTCTACAATTAAGGGCTTCTTCGGAACAGATGGACGAACGCAGTCGGAGCTGAGCTGCTCGGGCAGATCGTGGTCGTAGGGTTTCAACAGGGTTGCAGCGTCAAAACAGGGTTACGGGACCTCTCCAGTGGACCATTTCTGGCAACCATCACACATGCCCACTTCTGGCAACCATCCCACTTTCACGTACGCTGGTGGGCGAAAGTTCACACTTCCATTATTGGCCAAGTGTTCTTGGCGACCTGGTCTTTTGTTTCTGGAAACTCTCCACGTGAACCACCAAAAAGGGGACGTCTGGAGTCTGGCGGCTCCTTCTTTCCGTACCGCGACCCCAAACCGCAGCTGTTTCGTGTCCAAGACCATCCAGCCGACGAAAACCCGTTGTCCAGCGATACGGGGAACGGTCGCCGCTCTTCGATGGCCGCTGCGGATGTCCAATGGTGTCCACTCGAGCTCCACACGGTGGGGACCGCCCGCCGTCCGTGGGGTGTTTCACCTGGGCTGCCCATCTGACCCAAACTTATGTGGGGTCTCAAATCATATGGAGTCCATATGGATCTCTTGGGGTCTCAAATCCCGGTCTTTGAGGGCCAGTCGGGCTGTTTGGAGTGTGCTCCACCGGTGGACGGGGCCCGGGAGTGTCGGGGGTCGACCAAACTCCCAAACACGCCCGGAAAGGCTGGGGGGAGTCGATTCGTACCGTTCAACGGAATGGTCGATCCGACGGGTTGTCCAGGGATAAGGGGAGCCTCCCGGTCGTCTTAGAACACCGTTTTGGACCCAAGATGTATCCTGTCGGATCGAACATGTTTGGTTTCAAACGTCGGATGTTGCAGATGTTGGTCAACTGTTGGATTCTGTTGGTCCAAATTCGACGAAGAGCCGGCAAAGCTTTCTCAGATTCTCAGAGATTTTGAGTCAATGCAATAAATTACCATCATCAACCAAGATGGTGATGTGACATGTAGCGCATGTAGGACCAAGCCTGCGATTGGGTAGGGATACGGATGAGATGAAGGTTGGGCCTCAAAACATGGCATGAATGCAGGGAACAGGACCACCATGGACCACCCTATGTCTAAGAGCCCATGAGATTAGATGGGAATGTCTCAACATACCACATCATGTTTCATCATCCCATTACTCAGGACATCGTTGTTCTCGTCTTAGCACGATCGATCACCGTCCAGCGACAGGTCTTCTGTGATCGGCCGATCGGGCGGCGCGGACCGGGCGGGCGGTGGATGCCCAGGCGGAGCACGAACTGGAGAGGACTGGATCCCAAGTCCTCAAGCAGATGAAGGCACCGGGACCGACGCGGGGTCGACCTGTGCCCAAAGAGACCGAAAACGATGATTGGCCGATGGCAAGGTGTTTTAAAAGTTGCTCATGTTGCTCCTAGGTGCCAAGCAAATTATGCAATGTCTTTGATTTACAAGTTCAAGCCCTCTGAAGTTGAAAGAACGTAGTGCAGGATATTTTTTTTTTTTAAAGCTACTAACAGCACCAACTCTCAAATTTATGGATACACATACATATATATATACACACGTTACACACATATATATATATATATATCAATCTCATAGTATCTAGTATATTCTAGTATCAAACATCACAAAAAGACAAAACCTACCTTGGTTCAGTGTGGTTTGGTCGCAGGTTCAGCAGGTGCAGCACAGGCTGACACAGCTGCAAGAGCAGGTCAAGGAGCTCTTGGACTGGGCCTTAGATCTGGGATCTGTGATCAAAGGGGAGTGGCATCAAGTTATGTCCTATTCGCGTGTTGTACTTTGTTGAGGGGCTGATTCTATATATAAGAAACAGCCAGCCATTTGTCACGTGACCAAAAGTGTGTTATGTTGATCGAATGGCAATCTGGGCATAAATAAAGTTCCAAGAGCCACCTCAGTCAAGAAGGCAAAGCACGAAAGATGCGTTGTCGGAATGTCCATACAGTGAACGTATAGTGTTTGGCCAGTGTTTGGTGTGGTGTTACATTCTTGGTGTTGTTACTCGGTGTCTTTGGTGCCACATGTGAGAGTCTTCTCCGTGTCGGATTGCCCTATTTCGGCGTCCATGATCTTGGGCCTTTCTACATTGGGCCGTCCATGCAGATTATGCTGTCCCCTTAAACAACTTACGCATTTTAAAGGTTGGGCACATCATGCTCCGAAGCATTCCGAAGCCATTGGAAGAATGGTTTGTCATGATTTGTCTCTAGTAACCAGCGATTCAACATCTTGGGAATTGATCAGCCACTGTCAAGAAGTCTAAGAAGACCCCTTTGTTAGTGTTTTTTAAGTCCTGTCCAATGCAACTGCCCCAGACCCTTTTTGGCCCCTTTATCCTTTTCCGTCAGTGGAATGCAATGGCTGTCTATGCATGGTACAGTACGTTGTTGTTTGCATATTTGTTTTGCAAATTTTTGGTCTATTGCCACAAACCTTTGTGAGTTGTTCCAACGTGGTGAATATTTTCTATAGCTATGATTCATATGATTATGTACAATAAAGACCCAGTTCGTTAACTGCACCCCTTGCTCAGCACCTGCAACACGTGCCACCGTGCCACATGCAATTCACACCCACAGCACGACACCCCGAGTGCCCCCTCCGATCGCTGAGTGCGGTTACTTGGGAGCTTCTGGCAGCAAGATTCCATACGACCTTCCTTGGCTGCCGGCTCATGTTTTTTGGAGGCATTTCTGTGCTGTTCTTCAGGCCTCAGTGGAAAGCCAGCAGCGCCTCCCAAGCCTGGTGGAACAGCAGCCACTTGCTTCATCGGCCGACACGATGGGGTGGAACCGCGTTGCCCACGTTGGACTTGTTGTGGTCAGAACTGACCCGTCGCTGGGGCCCACGAAAGGGCCTCTCAGTCATGGACTGGCCTCTCGTCTCGTGGTGTTCGGCAAAGGGTTTGCCAGATCAAGAGGCCTATGCCCATGCAGTCCCCAGCATGTGGTATCATTTGGTTATTTTCATTGTGGAGACCCCCAACTAACATCAACCAATCCTAGTATGTTTTGAACTGGTCGATATCTCCGTTTCCAGCCTCAGGTGCATTCCCGATCCACACGTTTCTCAACCGAAATGTATCGAAACGTCCAGGGTCCAGGTCTTTGATTGATCATGATTGATTCCGTTTCCTTTTCTCCACTTAGATCCACTTATATAGATACCCGACATGACTCCGACGTCCAACGGTGCCACGAACCACACGCCGGCCGTCCTCAGGAAGATCGCCCGGAATCTGGGCGCCTTGGGTCGGTCGGGGACGGCATGGCGAACGGGTTTTGAATGGCATGGATGCCAAAGAGGGCCCTATTGGCCCAGAAGTACTGCAGTAGGTATGGAGAAGCTCCAATTTGGGTGCAGAGCCTTCACCCTTGATGGTATGGCACACTGATGCAACCAGTGGAGCTTGAACCCGTGTGCAGTATTTTTTTTGTTTGTTTCGGAACCGCCGAAGGGTTTGAGTCAAGGAATGTATCTCGCCTCGAACCAGATCCAACCTGAGCCAACCAGGTCTATTCAATTCTTCACGATATATCATAATGCAAATCCACGAATGGCAATCCCTCAAACGGACCATGGGTCCATAAAACATCCGAAATGTGTTTAAATGACCTCCAAACAACAACGACTTGTCACTGTCACCATTCAAAACACCAGGTCTTGGCCTTTGTGAATCAGCTGCCAAAGGGCACTCTTCATAATTATAATATATATACATGTGCATGATTGTGCATGTAATTTTGCATAACTTCAACCTTCAAACGCAGTCTTTTTCCTGAGGGTTGTTAGTCTGTTTTAAAGAGAGGTGTCGCAACTCCTGCTCTAATCCTCCTTCTCGTCTCACAACAGCAAGGACCAGATCGCAGTGGGCACTCCCAGACCTCAACAGCAAGGGCCAGACCGCAGTGCGCACTCCCGGACCTCAACAGTCAACAGCAAACACAACCACAGCTACAACCACAACCACCATGACAGCACAACACAATGATATGTATACCAGTCTGTGTGGCGTTTTCCGTGGGAGGGGGTTACAAGGTTAGAACGCGAACTCCCCAACAGTAAGGCAACACCCCCAAGCTTCAGGGCCTCCAAGCAAAATCGAGCACCCCAAAGCCCCCACCAAGGCAACATGCTCCACGCCGTGGCATGATTACAAGTGATTCAACTGGATCACTCGGAGTAAAGTAGTTGTGATTCTCTTTATCTGTAAAGTATCAACACAAATTAAAGACTCAGACTAAATACATAAAAGTACCATTAACTTTTTTATTGCTGTGTGTCATTGTCACGGAGACCAGAGTGAACACGGACCTTGCCATGTGAGCTCTCCATGCCCAGAAGTGCCCGGAATTGACAGTTTTGTGTTCTTCGCTTCGCCAATTCCACGCCATAGCGTTTTAAAACCCCACCTCGGACCGGCAGACAGGGGGTGCCGGGCTTAGTCTGAGGTGAAGATCTCATGGAAGAGATGTTGAAGTTGGACTCCTTGGGCAACCTTTGCGAGGACGACCGCCAGGCACCCACCGACTCGAGTCGGTGGGAGCACGCTTCTTCTGCATGGCAGAGAGGGATGAAATGATTCACGCTTGGCGCGAGGCTATCGAGAGGCTGTCCATGTCCATCCATGTTTCGGTGGAAGGACACATTTGCATACTTTTTTTTTTGGTTGGAACAAGTTGAGGTGCGGAAGAAGGCCCTGGCTGACCTAGAGTCCTTGGTGGAGCAGGTGAGAGCTGGAATGGCTGGTGGGGGTTTGGCGCGCTCACAGCAGTGTGAATCCGTAGGCCCGTGTTTTTGGAGGGTTTCGAAGATGAGCACTGTCTCCGTTGCTGCGAAGTGTCTTATTACTTTTTCCACAAGGACAAACATATACAAAATCATTTGATTTTGTGTTGAACCTTATGGGTTTCTTGATCATAGTTGGGTTCTGAGGGCCACATAGGGACTGGTCCAAGTCTAAAGGTTTTTCGTTTGTATTTGTTGTCCAAAGCCAGTGCCAACCTGCGAAGGTAGGTGCATAATTCTCGATCAAGAATGGAAGGGTAGGATTGAGATTGATTAAGTATTATATATTATATATATATGTATAACATCCTTTGTTGATTTCGCCCAATTTTTTCTGCCCTACTACAGTAACCGCCCTCTAAAATCCTTCCCGATCATTTGTTACCCGCCACACTGCCCAGACCCCCCAAAAGGGCCCAACCTCTTCGCATATGCTGCAAGACAAATCGATTCTAATCGCCTTCCTTCGAAGAGATTTGGTTGTCTTTAGGGTCTGAGATGCTCCCTCCACGTACATTCAAGCCGGGGGGCGGTTTCGACATTCTTCAGTTCCAGGATGACCTTCCGACTTGCTGGGGAGTTCGACATGGTCCTACCTTTTCCATGAACCCCTGGTGACCAACAACATCCAAATCGGTGAGAAAGCAAATCGGTGAAAAACAACCATCACATACCATCACCCATTTGACACCTCGGTGGGACGACGTGACAACCGGACATCGCGGGAGGTCCGCGATGATCGACTTCAGGTCGATGCTGCCAAGGCGCTCCTGCTCCAACAGCGCCTGCAGCTCGAGGCTGGGTCCGAGCGGTGGGGGAATGGGGACGGGGTGCCGGTGCGGCGAGCCGACGTCGGCGGGAAACCGGGCGTTTTGGACGGTCCATGTGCTCCGGGTCCCTGAAGGGTGAAGGGGGTGGGGCCACAGGTTTTTTTCTCCAAACAGTTTACTGTTGCCGGTTAGTGTCTCACTGTCTTACTGTGGTCAGGCATTAGTCCGGGCCGATCGTGCAGCTTGAGGAGGACAAGGGGTTCTCAATTCTTTCTTAAGACGGTCCCTCGTTTGGGTCCCGGTGAATGAGACTCGAGGGGAGGCAGAGAGCGATCGAGTCACAGGGCGCGATTCCACTGGTGGTGAGGAAAACGGCGGTGAGAACAGTGGCGAGTCACAAATGCGAAAACGTCGACCTGTGAAAAAGACCGAGTGGCCGCGGTTTCGCACGGTTTCGCTGTATTCTTTGCAAGCATGAGGGGACTCTGCTTTTTGGGTCCTACGTTGAGCCTGTCATCAGAGTTGGTGCGAGTTTATTAACGGCCAGGTCCCAAAGACCATGTCCAGTCAGTAGAGGTTTGTGTGGATCAGATCGCAGTGACACTTTTTGAGACGATGGACGCCACCTTTCACCCCCCTCGCCATCTTTCCTGATAGGTTCTAGGGACCTCCACAAAAGAATCCATGTAACGATTGTAAAGGCGCTTACTTAGACCCCTCTTGCATTTCTTGTCTTTGTTCACGCCAGAATCAACATTTCTGGAATCACCTGGAACGGGCCCTTGCCAGGCGGCAGAGAAGGCCGGCCATGGCGGGCAGCTTGCGGTTGCGGCACAGAAGAGTTCCGTGCACCATTCTTCTCCAAAGATGGGAGTAACACTCAAACACCTTGAACCCATGATCATTGATTGTGATAGTTTGGTCTTTGATTGTGATAG